GGGGGGGGGCACTGGATTCCTGCACTGTGTGCATTGGGGGGACACTGGATTCCTGCACTGTGTGCGTATGTGAGTGAGAAACTGGGGCACTGGATTCTGGTCTTTGTGGATTTAAAGTACAAGATTGAATTCCCAATTGTTGGCATTAATAGGGGCTGGAATAGCCCCAGCCTCAGCTGCTTGTACAGAGTGGGGTTGGGGGCTGTCAATCCGAGATCCAGCTCCATGTCCCAGGGCAGTTAATACCCGGAAGTTCAGCTGGCTTCCTCACACCACGGGAAACTTGTGTCCATTCAGCCACAGGGGACTGTGGAGAGGTAAGGTCATGGTGTGCGGTGAGAATGTTGTTGGGATTGACTTTCTGGAATGTTCTGTGACTTGTCCTACTTCCGTTGACTGATCAGCTGTTGCTGCTCGTGCTCTGAGAGCGATCTCTCCATAAAGAGCTTCCTGTTTGCTCTTTCCAGATTGAAAGACACGACAGCTGTGCGTACGACTACCTGGAGGTGCGTGATGGAGACAGTGCTACCTCACCCCTGATTGGCCAGTTCTGTGGTTACAATAAACCGAGTGACATCAAGTCCAGCTCCAACAAACTCTGGATGAAGTTTATGTCGGACGGCTCAATCAGCAAGGCTGGTTTCGCAGCAAATTATTTCAAGGGTGAGTTTGGCCCTTCTCCCAGAATGAAGGCCATTCAACCCATCAAGCCAATGCTGGCTCTCCAAACAAACAATCCAGTTTGCCCCACTCACTAGCTCCTTTGCCATAGCTTCTACTAATTTTGTTCTGTCTTCATTTATTTCCCCAATTCTGTTTTGAAACTGATGATCAAATCTGTTACTACTGTCATTTCAGGCAACGCATTCCAGATCACAATTCACTGCTCAATGCTTGCGTTAGTTCTGTTTATTTTTAAAAGTTATATCTTGGAGCCATATCTTATCCCTGAATGCAGAGTCTTATCCCAGTATTCCAATGACCAGGTTTCCATTCTGCTGAGGGAGCTGGGTTTGAGCAGTGCAGTGAATCATTGCCCCCAAGATCAGTGACTCGCACTGAGCCAGAAGGTACTGGGTTCAAGGCTTGCTGCACAGCCTTGTCCAAAAGGGCATGAGGCTAATGCTTTAGTGCAGTGCTGAGGGAGTGCAGCATTGTCAGAGGTCCTGTCTCTTGGATGAGCTGTTAAACCAGGCCTCTGTTGTACCAAGTAGCTGGGTTCAGAGAGCACTGTCTCTTTAATTGTCCTCCTGGCCTTGCCCAGGAGCTCCACCTGCTGTGATAATGGGGAACTGACAGCAGTGACAATGCTGGAATTGAGAGTTTCCCAGCTTTGTGTTTTGTCTAAGTTAGCAGCCACCACAGACCACCCCCGGCCCCGCCCCAAGTGCGTCAGTTTTGTGAAAGTCCAACTAATAGAACCACAAAGCTCAGAGAGAGACCATTTGGCCCTTCGTGCCCATGATGGCCAAAAAATTAATTTGATGTACCCTACTTCCTAGCTCTGATTGTAAATCCAAGAATATTTCTGACTGGTGCTGAGGGTATCTGTCACCATTAGCCTTTCAGTGAGTGGGTTTCAAACACCCCTCACACTCAGAGGGAAAATATTTCACCTTTAATCCTTCTACTGACTCCTTTAAATCAACATCTCCTGGTAGTAAGCAAGGTCAGTCTGACCGGCCCACTGTGTCAAAGCCCCTTCCTATTTTATCCACTTCCATTAAATTCCCACTTCATCTCCTTGGTTCCGAGGAAAACAACCCCAGCCTGTCCAATCCCTCCTCATCACTATCCAATCTTGGTAAATCTGCTTTAGACCCTTTCTTTCTGACCTTTAATGTGGTGATGAGAACTGTGCACAACACTTGCTGTGATATAATTGTTGTTTTACCTGGTCCCAGCATAACTATACCCTCTACCTCTCCGCTCTTATATTCTGTACCTTAACCGTCCTCCCCACCTGTCCAATCGCCTCTGAGGTCTCTAATTTATTTCTTTGCCTTGTTAATCCTTCTCCAGTTGTACTGTCTCAGACTCCCCTGGTTTGAACTCCATTTGCCACTGACCCAGTCACCTTACAGCTATATTAGAGTCTCCCTCGAGCTTTCTTAATCACCAGGCAGGCATTTTCTGTATCCTTGCAAGTTTCTCAATCATATGGTGGCTCACTGGTTAGTACTGCTGCCTCATAGCGCCAGGGAACCGGGTTTGATTCCACCCTCGGGCGCCTGTTTGTGTGGAGTTTGCACATTCTCCCCGTGTCTGCGTGGGTTTCCACTGGGTGCTCCGGTTTCCTCCCACAGTCCAAAGATGTGCAGGTTAGGTGACTTGGCCATGCTAAATTGCCCACAGTGCCCAGGGATGTTTAGGTTAGGTAGGTTAGACGTGGGAAATGCAGGAATAGGGGAATGGGTCTGGGTGGGATGCTCTTCAGAGGGTTGGTGTGGACTTGTTGGGCGGAATGGCCTGTTTCCACACTGTAGGGATTCTATGATCCTTTCAGAATCAAATCATTGATGTAAACCACCCACAGGAAGCCTTGTATGGAGTCCTGCAGAACCTCACTGGAAAAAGCCTTCCAAACATAAACACCCATCAGTCAACATCCTTAGCTTCTAGCCTCTGAGCCAATTCTGATCCAACTCATCCTTGGGCTTTTACTTCTGTGAATGGTCTGCCATTTGGGACCTTCCTAAAAGCGTCCCCAAAAACCATCAGCTGTAGGGTAGGCAATGGGCTAGTGGTATTATCGCTAGACTATTAATCCAGAAACCAAGCTAATGTTCAGGGGGCCCGGGTTCAAATCCCATCACGGCAGTTGGTGGAATTTGAATTCAATAAAAAAAAAGTCTAGAATTAAGAATCTACTGATTGTCGGAAAAACCCATCTGGCTCACTAATGTCGTTCAGAGAAGGAACTCTGTCACCATCATCTGGTCTGGCCTACATGTGACTCCAGACCCACAGCAATGTGGTTGACTCTCCATTGCCCTCTGAAATGGCCTAGCAAGCCACTCAGATGTACCAATTGCTAAAAAGTCTCAAAGAAATGGAACTGGATGGCTCACCTGGCATCGACCTAGGCACTGGAAAAGACAATGGCAGAAATAGCCCTGTCGAACCTGCAAAAGCCCTCCTTAGTAACATCTGGGGGTTAGTGCCAAAATTGGGAGAGCTGTCTCACAGACTAGTCAAGCAACAGCCTGACATAGTCATACTCACAGAATCATACCTTACAAACAATGTCCCAGACACCACCATCACCATCTCTAGATATGTCTTATGCCATTGGCAGGACAGACCCAGCAAAGGTGGTAGCACAGTGGGATACAGTCAGGAGGGAGCTGCCCTGGGAGAGCTCAACATTGACTCTGGACCCCATGAAGTCTCATGGCTTCAGGTTAAACATGGGCAAGGAAACCTCCTGCTGATTACCACATACCGTCCCTCCTCAGTTCCTTGAACAATATTTGGAGGAAGCACTGAGGATGGCAAGGGCACAAAATGTACTCTGGGTGGGGGATTTCAATGTCCAGCACCAAGAGTGACTCGGCAGCAGTATTACTGATCGAGCTGGTCGGGTTCTAAAGGACATAGCTGCTAGACTGGGTCTGCGGCAGATGGTGAGGGACCCAACAAGAGGGAAAAACATACTTGACCTCATCCTTACCAATCTGCCAGCTGCAGTTGCATCTGTCCATGATAGTATCAGTAAGAGTGACCATTGCACAGTCCTTGTGGAGACAAAGTCCTGCCTTCACATTGAGAACAACCTCCATCGTGTTGTGTGGCACTATCACTGTGCTAAATGGGAGAGACTTCGCACAGATCTAGCAACTCAAGCCTGGGCATCCATGAACCACTGTGGGCCATCAACAGCAGCAGAATTGTACTCCAGCACAATCTGTAATCTGTAGCCAGTGACACCCACATCCCATACAGCTGATAAAGGTCAATCATGTTTCTCGGACACACCTTCCCTTAAACAAATCAATGTGCATTGTCATTGATTAATCAGAGTCTTTCTAAATGAAGATTTATTCTATCCCTCAGAATGTTTTCCTGTAATATTCCCACCATCCACTGACCTGGTTGTGGGGACTAGAGGTTCCAGAGATAGGGAGAGGTGTAGAGATTGGTGGTAGTTATAGAGATAGGGAGGGTTGAGGAGGTTATGGAGATAGCAAGGGATATAGATACTGAGAAATATTACAGATTTAGGGAGAGGTGCAAGGGCTGGAGAGGTTACAGAGATGGGGACGTGTGCACGTACTGGAGGAGGTTACAGAGATATGGAGGGGTGTGAGCGCTAGGAAATGCTACAGAGAGGGGCATAGGGACTGGAGGAGATTAATAAGATATGGCAGAAGTAGGAGCGGGAGGAAGTTACATAGATGCGGATGTGTGTAGGGGGATGGAGGATGTTACATTGCGAGGGATATATTGCTAAGGAGGGTACCCAGATAGGAAGGGGTGTAGGGGCTGGAGGATGTTACAGAGGTAGGAAGGAGTATAGGGGCTGG